GACTCTCTGCTATCCTTCTATGACAGGCTAACCCTGTTTGACTTCTAGTGCTGTACTAGTGATGGGTGACTCTCTCTGCTATCCTTCTATGGCAGACTAACCCTGTTTGACTTCTAGTGCTGTACTAGTGATGGGTGACTCTCTGCTATCCTTCTATGGCAGACTAACCCTGTTTGACTTCTAGTGCTGTACTAGTGATGGGTGACTCTCTCTGCTATCCTTCTATGACAGACTAACCCTGTTTGACTAGCGCTGTACTAGTGATCGGTGACTCTCTCTGCTATCCTTCTATGGCAGACTAACCCTGTTTGACTTCTAGTGCTGTACTAGTGATGGGTGCCTCTCTCTGCTATCCTTCTATGACAGACTAACCCTGTTTGACTAGTGCTGTACTAGTGATGGGTGACTCTCTGCTATCCTTCTATGACAGACTAACCCTGTTTAACTAGTGCTGTACTAGTGATGGGTGACTCTCTCTGCTATCCTTCTATGACAGACTAACCCTGTTTAACTAGTGCTGTACTAGTGATGGGTGACTCTCTCTGCTATCCTTCTATGACAGACTAACCCTGTTTAACTAGTGCTGTACTAGTGATGGGTGACTCTCTCTGCTATTCTCCATGGCAGACTAACCCTGTTTGACTTCTAGTGCTGTACTAGTGATGGGTGACTCTCTCTGCTATCCTTCTATGACAGACTAACCCTGTTTAACTTCTAGTGCTGTACTAGTGATGGTAGACTTACATTTAGTCTCTGAAATCTTATGTTACACAATATCATTCTTGACTCTTAAAAAAAATTTAAACAAATTCCCTATGCTGACTGTGGAATAGAGCTACCTTGAGCTGGCTAGACTTGCTTTTGTATGCATTTCTAGATTATATTTTTTTCATAAAATAAATATATTCCACGGTCATGGTGCAGGACTATAGTGATGGGTGACTCTCTCTGCTATGCTTCTATGGCAGACTAACCCTGTTTAACTAGTGCTGTACTAGTGATGGGTGCCTCTCTCTGCTATCCTTCTATGACAGACTAACCCTGTTTGACTAGTGCTGTACTAGTGATGGGTGCCTCTCTCTGCTATCCTTCTATGACAGACTAACCCTGTTTGACTAGTGCTGTACTAGTGATGGGTGACTTTCTCTGCTATCCTTCTATGACAGACTAACCCTGTTTGACTAGTGCTGTACTGGTGATGGGTGACTTTCTCTGCTATCCTTCTATGGCAGACTAACCCTGTTTAACTAATGCTGTACTAGTGATGGGTGACTCTCTGCTATCCTTCTATGGCAGACTAACCCTGTTTGACTAGTGCTGTACTAGTGATGGGTGACTCTCTGCTATCCTTCTATGGCAGACTAACCCTGTTTGACTTCTAGTGCTGTACTAGTGAAGACCTGCCTCCACTATCTGTCAGCTGATAAGTACCACAGCCCTGGCCCTGGCAGAGTTATGGGGGTAATGAAGGGGGAACGTTGGCTGACCCCTGGATTGTGCAACACATGTTCATCATCCTTGTTGATGACATAGCAAGGCAGCTCACCTAGGTCTCAACTGCATGTAAGTAATATGTCAGCAATATCTCAGCAACCTGGCTAGTAACTCAGCATGTCTATCTCAGAAATCCTGATAAATATCTCCGCAACTCTCTCTCTTTCTCTCTCTCTCTCTCTCTCTCTCAGAACAATATCACAGCAACCCTCTCTCTCTCTCTCTCAGCAATATCCTAATCATCCAGAGAGAGAGGGTTGGGTGATGGGAGGGGGGAGGGGGTGGGTGATGCTCCCTCTCTCTCTGTGTCTATCTCTCTCTCTCTCTCTCAGAACAATATCTCAGCAACACCCCCTTTCTCTCTCTCTCTCAGAACAATATCAAAGCAACCCCCCTGCTCTCTCTCCCTCTCTCTCAGAACAATATCACAGTAACTCTCTCTCTCTCTCAGAACAATATCACAGTAACTCTCTCTCTCTCTCTCAGAACAATATCACAGCAACCCCCCTGCTCTCTCTCAGAACAATATCACAGCAACCCCCCTGCTCTCTCTCCCTCTCTCTCAGAACAATATCACAGTAACTCTCTCTCTCTCTCTCAGAACAATATCACAGCAACCCCCCTGCTCTCTCTCAGAACAATATCACAGCAACCCTCTCTCTCTCTCTCAGAACAATATCACAGCAACCCCTTCTCTCTCTCTCAGAACAATATCATAGCAACCCCTCTCTCTCTCTCTCTCTCTCTCTCTCTCTCTCTCAGCAATATCCTAATCATCCACAGAGAGAGGGGTGAGTGATGGGAGGGGGGTGTTGCTCTCTCTCTCTCTCTCTCTTTCTCTCAGAACAATATCTCAGACATATCTTCATCATGTTTCAACCACCCTGTTCAGTACAAAAAGCAGTGTTAGATGTCCACAGCCGAACCAACATCAATATCCATGATTCCTTGGGACTGACCCCAATCACAAATTCCATTTTTGCATTTTGGCAAATTTGACATGAACTTAAACCTTAGAGCGTTTAATCATCCAAGCATCAAAGCCCACTACTACAATACAAAATCTGTAAGTGATGCCCCGTCTACAAATAGCCCGTTATCATCTGAGGGTTTGGTTCAAGTGCACAGCAGGATATGGGAATAAATAACTCTTAATTGACATGTTCAGCCCGTGCTGTGACATCAGAGTGCAACATGAAGGGCAGTAAGCATTACCCAAGGAACAAAGGCACTAAATGGACTTTGTCAGTGATGATGATGAAGGCCTCAAAACTGAGACCTCAAAACTGAGGGGTTAATGTATCCTATGCTGAAGGGTTAACATCAAATATGCTGTTGGTTACAAGTGACCCCACTGCCTCTTGGTGGTGTGATGGGGGAATTTGTCACTGGTTTGAGGCCATATTGATCTCACAGATCCCGCATGTCTAACATCAAGCTGGCTGTAAGGCTTTCATGTCGCCGGATGTCCTGTAACAGGGGCAGTCGGTCGTCCTTGTAATATAAAAGTGCAGTCACTGCCAAAAGCATTTCAGCCTACCAGTCTGAATTGGCTCTTTACATCATTTTCAGACTATTTTAGTGTCATTATATTGACTGTTACAATGTGAACTTACCATTATATTAGACCCTGGTTTGGGACTATTGACTAAGGTCACAAACTGATAGCAGACATTATGTGGGATATACGTCAGTATACCATGTAGGTAATATAGCAGTATACCATGTAGGTAATATAGCAGTATACCATGTAGGTAATATAGCAGTATACCATGTAGGTACTATAGCAGTATACCATGTAGGTACTATAGCAGTATACCATGTAGGTAATATAGCAGTATACCATGTAGGTAATATAGCAGTGTAATATAGCAGTATACCATGTAGGTAATATAGCAGTATACCATGTAGGTAATATAGCAGTATACCATGTAGGTAATATAGCAGTATACCATGTAGGTAATATAGCAGTATAGTATGTAGGTAATATAGCAGTATAGTATGTAGGTAATATAGCAGTATACCATGTAGGTAATATACCAGTATACCATGTAGGTAATATAGCAGTATAGTATGTAGGTAATATAGCAGTATTTCATGTAGGTAATATAGCAGTATACCATGTAGGTACTATAGCAGTATAGTATGTAGGTAATATAGCAGTATACCATGTAGGTACTATAGCAGTATACCATGTAGGTAATATAGCAGTATAGTATGTAGGTAATATAGCAGTATTTCATGTAGGTAATATAGCAGTATAGTATGTAGGTAATATAGCAGTATTTCATGTAGGTAATATAGCAGTATAGTATGTAGGTAATATATCAGTATACCATGTAGGTAATATAGCAGTATACCATGTAGGTAGTATAGCAGTATACCATGTAGGTAATAAAGCAGTATACCATGTAGGTAATATAGCAGTATACCATGTAGGTAATATAGCAGTAAACCATGTGTAGGTAATATAATAGTAAACCATGTAGGTAATGTAGCAGTATACCATGTGTAGGTAATATAATAGTAAACCATGTAGGTAATGTAGCAGTATACCATGTGTAGGTAATATAATAGTAAACCATGTAGGTAATGTAGCAGTATACCATGTGTAGGTAATATAGCAGTATACCATGTAGGTACTATAGCAGTAAACCATATAGGTAATGTAGCAGTATACCATGTAGGTAATATAGCAGTATACCATGTAGGTAATATAGCAGTATACCATGTAGGTAATATAGCAGTATACCATATAGGTAATGTAGCAGTATACCATGTAGGTAATATAGCAGTATACCATATAGGTAATATAGCAGTATACTTATAATGTGTAGGTAATATAGCAGTATACCATGTAGGTAATATAGCAGTATACTTATAATGTGTAGGTACTATAGCAGTATACCATGTAGGTACTATAGCAGTATACCATGTAGGTAATATATCAGTATACCATGTATACTATATGCTCCAGTGGTCAGAATGTGCTCGGATCTGAGCAGAGATTGTGGAGTTTCAAGTTACAAAATGGCATTCCATTAACAGGCTCAGTGCTGGTCCTTATGCAGAGGGGCCTTGGGGTGGTGGATCTTTAAGACAGATAACAGAGATCATATTACCAAGCAAAAACCACTGTGTAACAAAGTATGTAGGTAATATAGCAGTATACCATGTAGGTAATATAGCAGTATACCATGTAGGTAATATATCAGTATACCATGTAGGTAATATATCAGTATACTATGTGTAGGTTATATACCAGTCTACCATGTAGGTACTATAGCAGTATAGTATGTAGGTAATATAGCAGTATACCATGTCCAGTAATAAACCATTACACTATCTATCCTCTGGTGCACATATGACGACATCCCTCAGAGGTACATATGTCCACTATTAAATTCCTGCCTGGAATAGGGCCGTTATCACCCAGCACTGCCTAGTACCATGCTGTTTAGCAGATAACGGTCAGCCCAAGGGATGCTGATAAGACCGTAACTGTTACGCACAGGTAGCGTACCTCCCAGACCCTCGTACACATTACAATGGATGCCAACACAGATAGGATTGAGACCATCTTGTCTAATTACTGGCCATCATGTGGCTTCACACTGTGGGAAGTGGCCGGACAATGAGTCTGGCGGCTGTGGCCACTCACTGCTGTCCTGTAATTACTGCTTCCACTCAGCGCCGGCACCACACAGAACAGGAGGCCCGCGTGTTGCAGCAGTGGACAATGTAAGTTGTTAATCAGGCTGACTACACGACTGGTTACCAGCCAGACATTTACTGTTATATGTCACAGTGTTGATGTGCTGCATTTACTGTTAATATATCACAGTGTTGATGTGGTCCATTTAAATACTGTTATATGTCACAGTGTTGATGTGCTGCATTTATTTACTGTTATATGTCACAGTGTTGATGTGGTCCATTTAAATACTGTTATATGTCACAGTGTTGATGTGCTACATTTACTGTTATATGTCAGTGTTGATGTGGAACATTTACTGTTATATATCACAGTGTTGATGTGCGACAATAACTGTTATATATCATTGTCGATGTGGTACCTTCACCATCATACATTGGGTCCGTTGTGGCCTAGTTAAAGATCTCCTAAAGTACAGGTGGCCGTGTCCTGTGTACCACAGTGTGAACGCTGAAACCTGTATTTCTCTGACCTCGCTTGTGTCAGCACCTGCACCAGGTCGTGATGACCTAGCAGGAAGTCTTGGCCACTGACTGTCTGCTGAGTGAGTGTGAGGACCGACTGAGTGGAAGCCTTTCTGCCACCCCCCCCCCCCCACACACCATTCTACACAATATCCCTTCTCCCCAACAGTTACCCCAATACACAAAATCCCCACCCCCATTCTCTCTTTGCCCCCAGTAAATGGTGTCCCCCACTCCCTCTATGACCAGCATTATCACAAGGGTAACCAGCGGTAGATAGCAACAGTTTTAGTCCACTGGACCTTATACTGATACCATGTAGCAAAACCGTTAAAAACGGCAAGTTTTAACTAATCCTTATACTTTATAACACAGTAGATTTTGTTGAATATTATCTCCATTAAATGTCTCCAAGATAAGTCATCCCCAGCCCCCTCTGCACAAGGACCAGTAGACATCTAGTCTCTGAAATGAACCTATTGTACAGAAGACTAACATCTAGTCTCTGAAATGAACATATCGTACAGAAGACTAACATCTAGTCTCTGAAATGAACATATCGTACAGAAGACTAACATCTAGTCTCTGAAATGAACATATCGTACAGAAGACTAACATCTAGTCTCTGAAATGAACATATTGTACAGAAGACTAACATCTAGTCTCTGAAATGAACATATTGTACAGAAGACTAACATCTAGTCTCTGAAATGAACATATCATACAGAAGACTAACATCTAGTCTCTGAAATGAACATATTGTACAGAAGACTAACATCTAGTCTCTGAAACGAACATATCGTACAGAAGACTAACATCTAGTCTCTGAAATGAACATATCGTACAGAAGACTAACAACAGAAGATTAACATCTAGTCTCTGAAATGAACATATCGCACAGAAGACTAACATCTAGTCTCTGAAATGAACATGTCGTACAGAAGACTAACAACAGAAGATTAACATCTAGTCTCTGAAATGAACATATCGTACAGAAGACTAACATCTAGTCTCTGAAATGAACATATCGTACAGAAGACTAACATCTAGTCTCTGAAACGAACATATCGTACAGAAGACTAACATCTAGTCTCTGAAATGAACATATCGTACAGAAGACTAACAACAGAAGATTAACATCTAGTCTCTGAAATGAACATATCGCACAGAAGACTAACATCTAGTCTCTGAAACGAACATATTGTACAGAAGACTAACATCTAGTCTCTGATATGAACAGATTGTACAGAAGACTAACATCTAGTCTCTGATATGAACAGATTGTACAGAAGACTAACATCTAGTCTCTGAAATGAACATATCGTACAGAAGACTAACATCTAGTCTCTGAAATGAACATATCGTACAGAAGACTAACATCTAGTCTCTGAAATGAACATATCATACAGAAGACTAACATCTAGTCTCTGAAATGAACATATCGTACAGAAGACTAACATCTAGTCTCTGAAATGAACATATCATACAGAAGACTAACATCTAGTCTCTGAAATGAACATATCATACAGAAGACTAACATCTAGTCTCTGAAATAAACATATCGTACAGAAGACTAACATCTAGCCTCTGAAATGAACATATCATACAGAAGACTAACATCTAGTCTCTGAAATGAACATATTGTACAGAAGACTAACATCTAGTCTCTGAAATGAACATATTGTACAGAAGACTAACATCTAGTCTCTGAAATGAACATAGTCTACAGAAAAAACAGTTGTTCAGTTATCTTAATAAAAATATAATAAAAGGGAGCCCAGTGACTCTCTTCATTGTCAGAGACTAAACAAATCTGCAGTGCTATAATTTCTTGGAATTTTACGACACATGTAAATGATCCTATCACCCGTCACTGGCAGGACAGGAAAATTTATTGCCCCGACCACATCTCCCCAAACACACCCCCCTCCCACTGGAAGCTAGTCATACTGCAGTAATCTAGACTTGCCAAACATTATAGACTTGCATGGGCTGTATTTGATATATATTTGTATCAGGGTCTGTAAGACAGACTAAAGGACCAGCACTGAGTCAGTCTGTTAATGGAATGTCATTTTGTAACTTGAAACTCCACAATCTCTGCTCCGATCCGAGCACATTCTGACCACTGGAGGATACACTTAGGATACCATAACTATTACGCAGTTTGGCAAACGCTGATAACCAGCTGTGAGTGTCTCAGGGTCTGTAAGTCAGTATTGTGGCGGGGCTCCGTGGTCGGCTACTGGTGTACACACAGGTACTGTAGCACACAGCCAAATCTCTTGTTACACTGACATGTAGTAGTCCCTGTCACAAATGATGTAAGTCAGTATTGTGGCGGGGCTCCGAGGTCAGCTACTGGTGTACACACAGGTACTGTAGCACAGTCAAATCTCTTGTTACACTGACATGTAGTCCCTGTCACAAATGATGTAAGTCAGTATTGTGTGGCGGGCTCCGAGGTCAGCTACTGGTATACACAGTCAAATCTCTTGTTACACTGACATGTAGTCCCTGTCACAAATGATGTAAGTCAGTATTGTGGCGGGGCTCCGTGGTCGGCTACTGGTGTACACACAGGTACTGTAGCACACAGCCAAATCTCTTGTTACACTGACATGTAGTAGTCCCTGTCACAAATGATGTAAGTCAGTATTGTGGCGGGGCTCCGAGGTCAGCTACTGGTGTACACACAGGTACTGTAGCACAGTCAAATCTCTTGTTACACTGACATGTAGTCCCTGTCACAAATGATGTAAGTCAGTATTGTGTGGCGGGCTCCGAGGTCAGCTACTGGTATACACAGTCAAATCTCTTGTTACACTGACATGTAGTCCCTGTCACAAATGATGTAAGTCAGTATTGTGGCGGGGCTCCGAGGTCAGCTACTGGTGTACACACAGATACTGGTATACACACAGCCAAATCTCTTGTTACACTGACATGTAGTCCCTGTCACAAATGATGTAAGTCAGTATTGTGTAGCGGGCTCCGTGGTCAGCTACTGGTGTACACACAGGTACTGTAGCACACAGCCAAATCTCTTGTTACACTGATATGTAGTCCCTGTCACAAATGATGTAAGTCAGTATTGTGGCGGGGCTCCGTGGTCAGCTACTGGTGTACACACAGGTACTGTAGCACACAGCCAAATCTCTTGTTACACTGACATGTAGTCCCTGTCACAAATGATGTAAGTCAGTATTGTGGCGGGGCTCCGTGGTCGGCTACTGGTGTACACACAGGTACTGTAGCACACAGCCAAATCTCTTGTTACACTGACATGTAGTCCCTGTCACAAATGATGTAAGTCAGTATTGTGTGGCGGGCTCCGTGGTCAGCTACTGGTGTACACACAGGTACTGGTATACACACAGTCAAATCTCTTGTTACACTGACATGTAGTCCCTGTCACAAATGATGTAAGTCAGTATTGTGTGGCGGGCTCCGAGGTCAGCTACTGGTATACACACAGCCAAATCTCTTGTTACACTGACATGTAGTCCCTGTCACAAATGATGTAAGTCAGTATTGTGTGGCGGGCTCCGAGGTCAGCTACTGGTATACACACAGCCAAATCTCTTGTTACACTGACATGTAGTCCCTGTCACAAATGATGTAAGTCAGTATTGTGTGGCGGGCTCCGAGGTCAGCTACTGGTATACACACAGCCAAATCTCTTGTTACACTGACATGTAGTCCCTGTCACAAATGATGTAAGTCAGGGTTGTGTGGTGGGGCTCCGTGGTCAGCTACTGGTGTACACACAGGTACTGTAGCACACAGTCAAATCTCTTGTTACACTGACATGTAGTCCCTGTCACAAATGATGTATGGAAACCAACATGGCACAATCTAAGAGTGAGTGTTTGTTTGTTTGTTGTTTAACGCTGCACTCAGCAATATTCCAGCTGTATGACGCGGTCTGTAAATAATCTGTGAGCATTGATCCCGGCAATTGGGATACGATGACATGCATTAACCAAGTCAGCAAGCATGACCACCCGAACGTGTTAGTCGCCTCTAATGACAAGCATAGTCGCCTTTTACGGCAAGCATGGGTTGTTGAAAAGCTATTCTACCCCGGATCTTCACTGGTTGAAAGGGGCTGATTGAGTAGTGAGTGACAGTGATTGAGCAAGTGACAATAGAGTGAGTGAGTGAGTGAGTGAGTGAGTGAGTGAGTGAGTGAGTGAGTGAGTGAGTGAAAGCGAGTGAGTGATTGAAAGCGAGTGAGTGAGTGAGTGAGTGAGTGAAAGCAAGTGAGTGAGTGAGTGAGTGAGTGAAAGCGAGTGAGTGAGTGAGTGATTGAAAGCGAGTGAGTGAGTGAGTGAGTGAGTGAAAGCAAGTGAGTGAGTGAGTGAGTGAGTGAGTGAAAGCGAGTGAGTGAGTGAGTGATTGAAAGCGAGTGAGTGAGTGAGTGAGTGAGTGAAAGCAAGTGAGTGAGTGAGTGAGTGAGTGAGTGAAAGCGAGTGAGTGAGTGAGTGATTGAAAGCGAGTGAGTGAGTGAGTGAGTGAGTGAAAGCAAGTGAGTGAGTGAGTGAGTGAGTGAGTGAAAG